CTTTGTGAAGGATAGACTTTTCCTTTGTTTTTATGTAAGTGGCTTCTTTGTAATTAATGTAATTAGTATTTTTCCATAGGGGTGTGTGTGTGTGTGTGTGTGTGTATGTAAGTTTTAGACCCCATTTGAGAACTCTTTTTTTTTTTAGCACTTACTGTAGGCAGATGTTTCTGTCCCTCCAGCCTGCTCCCAAATAAACACACAGAGACTTCTTAGTAATTGTGAAAGCCCAGCCATTAGCTTAGGCTTGTTCCTGACTAGCTCTTAGTACTTAAATTAACCCATTTCTGGTCATCTGTGTGTTGCCACGTGACTCATGGCTTTTACCTCTTTTCTTGCATGCCTGTTCTCTGTCTTCTGCTGGGAACTTCCGCCAGTCTTCCCAGAGTTCTCTCTGTCTGGCTGTCCTGCCTATACCTCCTTCCTAGCTAATGGCCATTAGGTTTTTAGTAATCCAATCAGAAGGTGCCTTGCTGAGGACACATCTTCACCGTGTACAAAGGGATTATTCCACAACAGTTTATAACAGTGTATGATTATCTTCTTTATATCTCTACTTGTTTATTGTGTTATCATCTGAATGAGAAGTGAAGACCTGTCCATCTTATTTACTGCTGTATACTTGGAACCTAGTACACTGTCTTGCCCAAGGCAGGACTCGGTGTATTTGTGGAATAAATAATTCTGGCATATGGTAGACTCCTCAGTATGCTACCACCTCAATTGCCAAGTATTTGGAAGTGAGTCTAAACTTCTACAGCAGCAAGTATTTGATTTAGGTTAAAGCTGTAGGCTCTACTTTTGATAGCTGGAAATATTAAAAATTGACAAGGTTTGGGCCTTAGTTTGCATTATGAGTTAAAAGTATTTTATTGTATACCTGTGTTTCAATTAACTTATGCTATTAAAAACAGATTGTAAAGCTGGGCAGTGGTGGTGCACACCTTTAATCCCTGCACTCGGGAGGCAGAGGCAGGCAGATCTCTGAGTTCGAGGCCAGCCTGGTCTACAGAGTGAGTCTCAGGACAGGCTCCAAAGCTACACAGAGAAACCCTGTCTCAGAAAACAACAGATTGTGATCTCTTTGTCCACAGATATCCATTTTTCTTTTGTTATGGCATTTATTACCTTAAAATGTTCATTGGTAATGGAAGCTCTACCCATTGATGGTGTGTAACTGTTTAGAAAAGAAATACAGCATCTTTATTCCTTGATTTCCATGCTACTTTTTATTTCAAATTCCAGCTCACTGGCTTTCAGATGTGTGTAGTGTGCTTTGGTCAGTCACCCCCCTTTCCTCCTCACCAAATTACCCTCTTCTACTTTCAGCACTTTCCCAATTCTAAGTTCTACATATGAGAGAAAATGTGCATGTCTGTCTTTGTGAGTATGGTTTATTTTACTCTGTGTTGAAAATGTATTTTGGGGGGATAGTGACTCATGGTTTGTGATCCTAGTACTTGGAAGGCTTATGTTGAAGAATTCCTAGGAATTCAAGCTCAACCTAGGCTACAGAGAAGTTTTCTGTTTCAAAACCAACCAACCAACTGTCACTGTACGTGTTTGTGGGATGCAGTGTATTTCAGTACAGGTATACAGTGTGTAATGCTTAATCATAGGACTTGCCATGGCTGTCAGCTCAGACGTCGTCTATTGTTTCTTGTTGTTGGCAACATCCAAAATTCCAGTGATTTTTAATAGTAAGTGTTGTAATCAGTAGTTGTCCTACTCTGCTGTTTTGAACGTTAGGCGGTATTCTTCCTAACAAAGTACATCCCTGTACCTGTTAACCATGCTCTCTACATCCTTCATTTCTCCACAGTCCTCATAAGCCCTGGTAGCTACTATTTTCTTCTTCTTTGAGGTGAACTTGTTTTCTGTGTGTTGTTGTATAGGATGAAGATTATGCATGTTACCCTGAATGAAGGATGTGAAAGCTCCATATATGATTGCAGTTATTTCTTGATTTCTTACATGTATAAACAGTGTTTGTCCTTTACTTACTGCTATGTAGTGAACAATTTCCAATGATTAATTAAAGTTAGGTTTTTGTGTATATAATGGTTACTCGGTGTTGCATAACATAAACATGTCATATTTTTCCTAATCTCAGTTGTTAGGCTTCTTACAAATTGCTGTTAAATTGTGCTATGATGAACGTGGATGATTAATACCTTCTAGATTGTTTTGTAGGTTAAGTTCCAAGAAGTGGAATAATTCTTTGAATTTGTAGTATGTGATTAAATGCCCTGTGTAGTCAGACTCCATGGATTTAAATCCTTATTTAGATGTATATATTTGGGCCAATCCATTTTTCTGTGTTCAGTTTCTAAATCAATACTTTTAAAGAAGATAGTTTACCATAGAAAGCAGTCAGAATACTTAGATACCAGAGCATCATGGCTGTAGTTTTTGTCATTTTCATTTTATAGCTAACGTGTTTGAATTGTTTTTGATATAGAGTATGCTAGAATTGTGTCATGAAAAGTTAATTAAATTTGCATAGCTACTGCAAAAGTTATTAATTTGCATAGCTACTGCAAAACAGAGTATCATTTTGCAAAGCTTTAGTTGATGTTTTAATTCAGAAATATATGTTTTTGATGATGTGGCCTCAGATTTTAAGGACAGATGCATGCCTTTGAATCCTCAGTATTTGGTTAATTCTGATTTTATGTGTTTGGGTTTTTGCCTGTTGTTATGTGATTATTTATATAAGTAATTTAAATATTTAGATTTTTATTTACCTTTTGTATTTTATATTTTCTGTATCTGCTCTAATTGATTGCCTCTTAATTTAGTTTGAATTCTTTTTTTACATTCATAGAATATGTATATGAAGGTAGTTCTCATGGGACTGGAGAAATGGATCCGTGGTTAAAGAACACTTGTTTCTTTTGTAGTGGACCTGGGTTTAGTTCTCAGCACCCATATGGTAGCTAACAACCATCTGTAACTCTAGTTCTGTGGCTCGGATGTTCTTTTCTGTCCTCTGTGAGCACCAGATACACACATGGTGTGCATACATACATACATGCACGCAAACACCCAGACATATCAGATAAAAATAAGTCTTTTTTTTTCGAGACAGGGTTTCTCTGTGTAGCTTTGCGCCTTTCCTGGAACTCACTTGGTAGCCCAGGCTGGCCTCGAACTCACAGAGATCCGCCTGGCTCTGCCTCCCGAGTGCTGGGATTAAAGGCGTGCGCCACCATCGCCCGGCTAAAATAAGTCTTTTTTAAGCCGGGTGGTGGTGGCGTAAGCCTTTAATTCCAACACTTGGGAGGCAGAGGCAGGCAAATCTCTCTGAGTTTGAGGCCAGCTTCGGCTACAGAGTGAATTCCAGGAAAGTCTCCAAAGCTACACAGAGAAACCCTGTTTCAAAAAAAAAAAACCTGTTTTTTTTAAAGTTATTCACTTGTTATAATAAATCTATTATTTGTGGTAGTATAAATATATAATTCATTCGCTCATTTATTAAGCACTTTTCTCTGCTAGGTATACAGCTAATATTCTAAAAATATACTTTTTATTTTTAGAATAATTACAGACTGCAGAAAAGCTGCAAAGATTATTTCCCTTAAGCAGTTTCTCCTACTGCTAACATTTATTATTTCCATGATAAATTTGTCCCAACAAAGATACAAACATTGGTATGTTACTACTAACTAAACTTTACATTGTATTTAGATCTCACTACTTTCCCCAGAAATGTTTCTTACTCATCCAGTGTCTCATCCGAGAAGCAGCATTACGTTTAGTTGCCTTGTTTCCTTTCTCTTCCTGATAAGTGACAGTGTCTCCAGTCTTCCTTTTTTGTTGGTGTTATTTTTGTTTGTTGCTTTCTAAACTTTTAAAGATTTATTTATTTTGTTTTATGTGTGTTGTGTTTTGTTCACATGTATGTCTGTGTAGCTGGAGTTTTCTCTCCGGGGCCAGCAGTCCGACAGCCCACTTATAAAATAAACACACAGACGCTTATATTATTTACAAACTGTATGGCCATGGCAGGCTTATTGCTAACTGTTCTTACATCTTAAATTAACCCATTTCTATAAATCTGTACCTTGCTACGTGGCTCCTGGCTTACCAGCATCTTCACATGCTGCTTGTCATGGCGGCAGCTGGCAGTGTCTCCCTCACGAAGTCTTCCACTTCCCAGAATTCTCCTCTCTCATTGTCCCGCCTATACTTCCTGCCTGGCCACTGGCCAAACAGTGTTTTATTATACAGAACAATATCCACAGCATGTCTGTGTACTACATGTGTGTCTAGTGCTTATGGAGGTCAGAAGAGCATGTGAGATCCCCTGAGCTGGGGTCATGGATGGTTGTGAGCCTCCATGTGGATGCTGACAATGTGAACACTGGTCCTCTGCAAGAACAAGTTCTTTCAATCACCGAGCCATCTCTCCATCCTTGTTTATTTTTCACTTAGTGTTTGAAAGAATGCTAGTCATGTATTTTATTCAGTTTCTCAGTTTGGGTTTGTGAGATGTTTTTCTTGTGGTTGTATTAGAGTTATTTTTAGTGGTATGGACTCTGGGTATTATTTTATACTTCTTGTTATAGCCTCATGCTACAGCCTTTATTTTGTTTCTATTCTTTTCCAGCTTCTTTTATACTTCTAGGTTGACTCTTTCTTGGCCCAGTATTCCTTCTGTACTATTTTTTTTTTAAATTAAAAACATGTGAGTGCTCCATCAGCTTTGTGCCAGAAGAGGGCATCAGATCCCCACTATAGATGGTTGTGAACCACCATGCAGTAGTTGCTGGGAATTGACTTCAAGACCTCTGGAAGAGCAGCCAGTGCTCTTAACCTAAGCTGAGCCATCTCTCCATCCCCTCTGTATTTCTTTTTATGGTTTATATGCTATTCTCTTTCAAACTGCAAATTGTATAACTTTGTGTTAGTTTCAGTGGTTTTATAATGGTGGATTCTTCCCTTTTTTGCCCATTTTATTTTAATCACTCACTTCTTTTTTCTTTTCTTTATTCCAGGAACATTTTAGTGGATAAACCAAATGATCAATCTTCCAGATGGTCTTCAGAGAGCAACTATCCTCCCCAGGTAAGATTACATGTAGCACCTGAGACTGCTTAAAAGTCAGACTAGAAGGGCACTTGCTCACTTGGTATCAGTTATTTAGCTAGAACCCATTGAGAGTTAGTTGATTTTTGTCTTTGTGATGATGAGCTACATTTTCTTTTTGGTCTGTTAATTTTTATTTTATAGGTTAAAACAATGTGGGATTTGATGAGACACTTTTGAAAATTTAAATTCTGATTTATTTTTATATATTATTAAGGATGCAGAATTAAGCTGTTTTTGTTTTGTTCTTTAAAAAAAATCTTATGAGGAAAATGTTAGAGAACTGACTAGAATGTTGGAACATGTTTTGATCTGAGCCAAAGTTATGTTACATTCAAATCATTCTGCAGATGTTTAAGGAAATGTTAGTAAGTTGAACTTTGACTGAGGGGCCTTTGAGAAAAGTCAGCATAGTTCATTACATTATTATCCTTGTAATCTTTTATTAAAAATTACATTTCTCATTTATTTATTTATGTATGTGTGTGTTGAATGTGAGTGCATATGTGCATGTGGAGATGTGAGGAGGAATTATGGGAGCAGTTCTCTCCTTCTATCACATAGCTTTTGCAAACACCTTTACCTTCTAAGCCATCTCGCTGGCTCAGTTTGTTGTGTTAAAATAGCATACTTAGAAGGTATTATGACCATGAACCATGCTTTTTTTCCTTGCTAAGTAGTGCTGTCATTAAAAAGGATCATTCTTTCATTATACACTTTCAGTGTATAATGCTTAGGGTGTAATAGGTACATTTACAGTGCCTATATCCTTGAAGGTGTAATAAAGTAGGTGGGTAAACTTAATGAAGTAGAATTCATGGGAGCTTAGTTTTGTTGCTGTACCTATTTGGGTCATTTGAAACACTGTACCACTAAATTATATTCTTAGACCAAAGATTGTATTTTTATTTACTTTGTAATTATTACCGAAATTATGATAATAAATTTTACTATGAAGTTCCCATTCAACTATATTTTAAAGATAGTAGCATTTAATATTTTTTCTATATTTCTTTCTCATTCATTAAAAAATTATTTAGTAAGTACTCAAGAGTTATCAAGTTAAGTATTGGTAGTAGAGTTGTGAAATATTTTCTCTGTTCTTGATGAATCAAAAAAAAAAAAAACCCTGATTCAGTTAACAGTCCATCTATTGAGTCCGTAGGATAGAAGTAACCTATAGCTTTTATAATTAAGATTAATTTAATTTTGAAATTAATAACATGTAATCAATTTGTCTTAGTTGTAATTATGACCCAAATCTGAGATTCCTTGTGGCCAATCTCAAAGGACATGAGCAATCTAGTTTTATTTATTGGATAGAATAGGCACAATTTTGGTGTATAGATAAATAGCGAGAAGCTCTGTGCTCTTAGTGGTTGTTGGCTATAAAGTTTGTTATGACTGCATGTGTGCTGAAGGTTTATGAAACCTAGGACCCTAAAACAACTCACACTGAGGATGAGGATGAGACAAGAAACCCTTGGCTCTGGGGACAGTAGGAGAAGCTGCAGAAGAAATCCCATCTGTGAGAGCTCATGGCGGAGTGGTGGTCTTGGTCATATTTGGCATGACTAAATTTCCAGAACCCCCAGAAGTTAGAGAGTGTGGTTACAAGTGACAATGTATGGCCAGTGCTTTAGGGAGACATGGGGTCTCTGGGGCTGGTTCTTTTAATGCCTAGGCCTCAAGTAGTCTCCACAAATCTACTGAAGGAAAGTGAGTGGTATGCACTCAGCAAGGACCAGAAATCCAGTACCTGTAAGTAAAAAGTAGTAGAAACCTGCAAAAACTTTAGATGTGGAATTCAAAGTACTAAATGACCCTGGAATTACAGCAGCCAATCATATTTAGATAATGAAAAGATACTTGTTAGGAATAGGATATTTTAAGACATAATCTAGTTGACTTGTGAAAGAAGCAACTGAAACGTCTATAAATGATAATCATAATAGCAAATCCATTTGACCAGTCTTTCCATTAAAGATAAACTTCAAGTTGATTCTGAATCATCTATAAAGATTAAGTATAGCATGAATGAAAGCCTATCAATGCTTTAGGATAGTATTTTACTTTTTTTTTTTTTTTTTTTTTTTTTTTTTTTTGGTTTTTTTCGAGACAGGGTTTCTCTGTGTAGCTTTGCGCCTTTTCCTGGAACTCACTTGGTAGCCCAGGCTGGCCTCGAACTCACAGAGATCCACCTGGCTCTGCCTCCCGAGTGCTGGGATTAAAGGCGTGCGCCACCACCGCCCGGCTTGTATTTTACTTTTTTTTTAAATCAAATCAAATACATTTTATAGTGTTTGTTAATGCTACCATAGAAAATATGTTTTTTTTTTTTTTTTTTTTTTTTTTTTTTTTTTTTTTTGGTTTTTCGAGACAGGGTTTCTCTGTGTAGCTTTGCGCCTTTCCTGGGACTCACTTGGTAGCCCAGGCTGGCCTCGAACTCACAGAGATCCGCCTGGCTCTGCCTCCCGAGTGCTGGGATTAAAGGCGTGCGCCACCACCGCCCGGCGAAAATATGTTTTTTTGAGAGGACTTATGAATACTCTGGGGCTGTTTAAAATGTAAATGCAGTTACAGGTGTCTTAATTGCTTTAAGATTACTTCATAACATTTCTACTGCAATTTTATGTTCCTTTCAAAGTAGTTTTAAGGAAATTTATGATTATTGAATATTGCTATTTACTTTGGAGGCCTGAAGGTAACTGAAGTAGATTAACAAACAGCTAGCTTTTTTTCTTCTTCCTTCTCTCTCTCTCTCTCTCTCTCTCTCTCTCTCTCTCTCTCTCTCTCTCTCCTTCTCTCCCTCCTTCCCTCTCTCCCTCTCTCCTTCTCTCCCTCTCTCCCTCTCCCTCTCTTCCCCTCTCCCCTCCCCGCACCTCTTTCTTATAACCTCTTCTGATCAAAAAACCATAGTGATTACCCACTGCTGCTGGGATGGAGATGTATAGCGGGGAATGTTTTAGCTTTTTACACAAACTCAGATTCTTCTTCAGTTTGGTGAACCATGACACGACTATAATAGCAATAGGTCATTTGCCAAGGAAGGAAGGAAATGTAAGCTTGTGAAAGAGCCATTGGTTATATTGTATAATATCGCTTTGTGTATATATTTCTTTCCTTTGTGTTCTTTGAGACACGGTTTTACCATGTAGTACAGGCTGGCCTCAGAATTAAGTAGCCCAGCCTGGTCTGAAATTTGCAGTTCACCTGTTGTTCAGAGTCCTGAGTGTGTGCCACTATGCCTTGACTATAATACAGTTTTAATGGCTATAATTTGCAACCAGTAAAATGTGTGGGCCTTAGTGTATAGCATACCCAGTTTGAGCAATGCATATGCCAATATAATTTATAACCCTGTCAACCTATAAAATATTTCCATGACTTTAGTTAGCTCCATTCTGCCTTTTTATCAGATAATCTCTAATTGTCCCACCGTCCACCCAGAGGGAAGCACTAGTAGGATCTTGCCATTGTTTAGTCTCACCGGTCCTAAAATGTCTGTGAGTGGACTCAGAGCAAGCGCGAGCATGAATGCATGTGCTCTTGGATGGACTCTTAGTACGTGGTTTTTCTGCTTGGAAAGCTTTTACTAGTTATTTGTGTTGTCATGTGCTTTAGCATCCCTTTATATTCGATGATGCTGTTTTATCATGTGTGTGTACAGCAGTTTGTTTATTCTCCTTTTTATGTACATGTGGTTTTTTTCAGTTTTGAGTAATTATGAATAAATCTTACATAACATTCCTCTCTAAGATTAAAGGATAATTCATGTTTTCATTTATTTTGAACAAATATTTAAATATATAACTGTAAGTAGTTCTAAGTCAGGGATATTTTATGTGAAATTATTAAAGTTGTTGCTTTACAGCCTCATACAGTGTGCTGACATACATTTAAGCTTAGTAATTGTTGTTGGTATGAAGTATTTTTAATTTATAATTCGTGGGTGAGTGATGATGTTAAACATTCCCCCTCCACTCACTTATTAGCTGTTTATTTAGGATTTTTCAGGGGGAGATCAGGGAGGGTCCTAGGGATTGACTCCAGGGCCTCACATATGCTAGGCAAGTCTTCTAATACTGTGTCACACCTTCCCGGCTCTGTTTAGTTTTTTAATGAATTATTTTACCCATTAAAAAAAAAAGAATATTGCTTTCTCTTTGAGCATTGAGCTCTGGAGGTTGTTTATATATCTTGTACACGAATCCTTTTTCAGGTTTCTTTTTATCTGTGACTTGCCAATTCATTTTCTTAGCATTGTCTTTTTTTCATCTTTTAACAGTTACTGTTATTTTGTATTTTGGGTGTATTTTTAGTGTACATTTTAGTAAGTTTTATTGTACACCCTTAAGTGTAAGTGTAAACTTAAGATATATTTAAGATATAAACATATCTGTTACCTCCAGAAGTTTCCCTTGTACCATTTTTAATCCACCCACCTCATCTGTTTCTAGACATCCACTGATCTGTGTTCTTTCACTGTACATTGCATTTTTAGTTTTTAAAGTTTTCATTTTATCCTGTTCTTGCTCATTTTTCCTTCCTTCCTCCCTCCCTCCCTTCCTTCCTCCCTTCCTTCCTTCCTCTATTGCTTCCTTCCTTCCTTCCTTCCTTCCTTCCTTCCTTCCTTCCTTCCTTCCTTCCTTCCTTCCTTCCTTTCTCTTTTCTTTTCTTTCTTTTTTTGAAACAGGGTCTGGTGTATGGACTAGGTTGGTTTGGAACTCATTATGTAGCTCAGGTTGGTCTTCCACTTAATGCTACTGCTTCAGTCTCCCAAGTGCTAGAATTACAGACATGAACCAACATGCCAGAATGTTATATAAACAGCATAATGTGTGTCTTTGTTTGGCTTATTTGAGTCAAAGTAATTACTTTAAGATTAATCTTGGAAACACACCTGTGAGCTCAGAGACTGTATGATACCTCCAGGAACTGGGGTTACTTCAGGTACTTCACCCATAAATTGACACCGC